ACCTGTTGGCATCCAGCATTATCTGGGGACATCAGGACTGTTAGCAGAGCTGCACTTTGAATTGAGCAAAAACAAACAAAAAGACCAAAACTTTATTGCCAAAAAATTGGCAGCAATACAATCCCTGATCCTAGAAACCATTGTGAGACCTAACTAACTCCATTTTAAAGTTTGACTCCATCTTAAAATAAGACAGTGAAGTGGCCTTGACATAAATTCCACTTCACTGAAGTCAACTATTCCCCTAGTCTCCTTTGTGCCCATAAAATAATGATAAAATGTCCTTGCTGTGGGACAACAGATAAAAAGACACAGCTCCTAACTCAATCCTCTGTCTGCCCAGAAAACAGATGCTCCCAGGCCCATTATCTATAGAACATTCTGTCAATGTGCGGATTGTTCCTTTTTCCCATAAACTCTACATGCAGCCACCCCTCAACCCCCCATGCTTGCTAAATATCAACCAATCATGTAACTGCTAAATGAAACATCCCCAAACCTTGCAGCAGCCACAATAAAAACCCTGCTGATTTGGAATTCGGGGCTCTCAATCCTGATCCGCTGCGTCGGTGACGATTGAGTGCCCCTGCTCGAGCTTGAATAAACGACCGACCCTCGTGTGTTTACATCGGAATCGGCTCCTTGATGGTCTTTGGGGACTTCGCGATCTGGGCACAACACCATGAAATTATAACGTTTTTTACTTTAAGTCATTAAGTTTTGGGGTAATTTGTTACACAGTGATAAATAGTGACCACAGATCCCATCACTGTTAATTATTTTGATCAAAACAAAAACAAACAAAAGGAGCTAGATTCCCCTCAAGGGAGAGCAGGACTGGATTGTGTGCACACAGGCAAGGGGGATTTGGGTATCTGCTTTCCAGGCGACGGGGATTTGCGTATCTGCCTTCCCAAGGTTCGCCGGCAGTGGGTAAGCAAACACCCATCATCCCTGTTGTGCTATGTATCGTGTTTGGGTGTTTATTGTGTCTTTTCCACTAAGAGAAGCTTCATGACTGGAAATATTTTCTGGTGGGGGTGACACTGGGGAATGAACCAAGGCCTTCACACTGAGCTCCATCTGTAGCCCTTTTCAAATTTTTTTACTTTAAGCCAAGCTCTAAGTCACTAAATTGCCCAGGCTGAGCTTGGGCTCTTTTTGTCCCTGCTCAGCTGCCTGTGCAGGTCAGGGGCACAGAGGAAGCAACACCTCTTGGGAAGAACCCTCAGCCAGTGACTACCAGAGGGAGGCCCGGAAGGACTCAGTCCCTGACTGAGGTGTGAGGCATGCGCTCTCACACAGGTCCTGTCCCCAAGAGGACTGAGCTTCAGCTGCCAGGGGTGGAAACCCATCTTTCCCTGGTCACCTTCCTGTCCCCACCTCCCTCCTCTCTTGCCATTTCTTGCAATGACACCCCAAATAAACCATTGTTATAGTTTGGATCTAGGATGTCCCCCCCAAAGTCTTATGTTACAACCACTTAGGCGAGAATCTTTCACCACGTGCAGGTTCCCAATGAAGAGTGGTGCTGCCACCCTGCCCTTTACTCTCAACTTTCCATGGTCTTCCCTTGCTTTCTGGCAACCTTTGGAAACCCAACCTCCCCATCCTCGCCAGTCTTCCAGCTCCGAATCATTCGTTTTCTACTCGGAGCCTCTCCGGTTTTCCATCGCCTCTAACTGCCTTTAGATGTCCTGGGGAAAAAAAAAGCTGTCAAGGCTTCTCCCTTGGTCCAAAAATAAAATAAAATAGGTGAAATTGAAATACAGCTGTATTTTCTTTATCATGAGCACACTCTTAAGGACGGTTGCCTTTCCTCACAGGTACGGCTGGGGTGTGGTGTGGGGAAACAGACAAGCTCACTGGCAGGCTGCTAGCAAGTGGGGAGGACAGACATGGAGCAGTCACTGAAACAAACCAATAGGGAATCCGGGACAGCGCAAAGGAGGAAAAGTTCCCAAGGACACTGAAGCTTATAAAGCCAGATTTCCTCCTTTCTGAGAAGCCAGGAAGGGCTCTCCCTGGGAAGCGCCACATGTTAGCAATGGAGGGCAGGAAAGTGTTTCTGGCAGAGGAAACAGTGAATGCAAAGGCCCTGTGGCGACAAAGATTGACAGAAGGTAAAGGTATCTGAAGAGCAGAGAACCAGGGAAAGCTTGGTGGGAGAAGGGCCTGGAAGAGAATGCAGGGCCTCATGAGATGAATTAGGATTGGGTCTTTATCCCAAGCACAGTGAGGAGGTTTTGAAACTTTTTAACTGAGTTTAAAGCAGGCCAACCAGTCTGACCTCTGCTAGCCTGGCCCTTGTGAATATGTTTGCAAAATAGATTTCTAAAGCAGAGGTTCAGGTAGTCTGGTAACCATAGAGATGGCTGTGCATAAACAAAACACTATGATAATCAAACCACAAACTTGAGAAACCGGGTGTTATAAATGTGACTGGTTCTGGGGGAGCTTTGAGTAGCCTGGGCTGATGAAAAGTGCTGGACACCACATTATGCCAACCTAAAGGGTCTAATATTTGAAAAGGGTCCTGCTGTGTGTATGAATAAAACCCAGAACCAAGGACACTGGTGTCATAGCAACCCTTGGACCACAGGGCCTCTTCCGTATTCCGAACCCAGTGACGGGAGGGAGCGGGGGGGAGAGGCAAATGAGCAGATGAAAAGCGTCTGCTGTTGCCCAGCCATGCTCACGGTCATCGTCATATTTAATTCTGATAAAAACTGGCCAGAGCTGACTCCCTATTCCATTTTGTGCGTGTACGTGTGCCTGTGTGTGGGTGACTGGGGATTAAACCCAGGGCCTTAAGACTGAAACAGAGTCTTGCAAAATTGCCCAGGTTAGAGTGTAAGTTGTGATCCTCCTGCCTCAGCTTCCCAGAGTGCTAGGATTGCAGGTGCACGCCACCATTCACCCCCTCCTCACCAGTCATCCCTATTCTGAAGACCAGGAAAGTGGAACTCAGAGAAAGGATGTGGGTGGCCGGTCACACGGAGTGCCAAGCACTTGTCGCTCTGCCCCACTTCATCCTTCCTGGCTCGCAGAGCTCATCTCTGTCTGCTGACATAAGCCTGCCAGCTCCTCACTGGTCAGCTTCCTCTGCACAAAGGCAAAGTCACATAGGCCACCAGAAGCCAGTCCTGAAGGGGCAGTCTAATGGGAAGTGCAGGGACTTCAACCGGGTTTTCTCTCAAATACAGAGAGGTGTGCAGGGGGTAACACTTCTCATCTTTTGCACGTGCTTTTGTATCTTCATATGATGTGTGGAATTTGGTGGCCACTTTGTGACCATAAGGTGAAAAGAGTAAGGATTCAAACAACGTGCTGAGGCAGGAAGGGCAAAATGATGAAAAGATGTTGGGTCCTTGGTATCGTAAAGTTCCTGAATAACACCCGGGACCCTTGCCTTTTGAAATGTTGCAAGCTAATAAATGAATTTATTGTTTACACTGTTTAAACTACTTGGTCAATCTACTACTTGTAGTTTATAACATGGTAGAATTACTATTTGTCCCCCCATGTCCTTCCCTTCCTACTTCCTTTTAGTATTAATACCCCAAGATTCCAGGGAGCCCATAGCTGTCTGCTAAAGAATACATTCCCCAGCTTCCTTTGCAGCTTCATTGGTCATATGACTGAGTTCTGGCCAATAGGATATGAAGGGAAGGGCTGCTTTGAATTTGGGGTCAACCTCTTAGTGACTTGCTTTCTACTTCCTAGCCCTTCTTGCTGAGTGGAAAGGGAACAAATAGAATAGACTCAGAGAAGGAAGCAACAGATCTGGACCGTTGCACAGAAGAGAAACAACTCTCATGTTTAAGCATCTATTTTAGGTTATTTATGTAAAAAAGCTTTATCTTGTCTGGTATACAGTAATCATACCCTCACCCAGTGGTGCTATCTTTCAGGTTCTTGTTGCAAACCACATAATGGATGGGGTAGGGGAGGGGTTCTATAGTGAGAGGTGGTCTCAGTGTTCCCTCAGGACATCACAATGGGGGAAGCCACTGTCCCCACAAGAAAAACCAAATTATAATCGTTACTACATTAAGCACTCCATAAATAATAATAGCTTTGTTCACCCCAATCCTGCCTAGGACCTCTTCTCTCTGCCTGGGGTGAGCACCCTCCCACTCCTCCACCTGGCTGAGCCCCAAACATGGGAGATTATGTGGGCAAAGGTTCAAGGAAATGAGGTGTATTTTGGGTAGAAGTGAAAACAGACACAAAATGTGGGGGGCATAGTCTGGCCGATGGGTGCTATCACCTAGCAACATCACTTGCAGAAAAATATTCCCAGAACCATTCATGCATGTTTGCAAAGATGCCTGGATAAGCCGACTGTACCAGAGAGAAAAGAAAACTAAACTAAAAATGTTAACAAAAATGTTTAATAACGGCTTGGCAACAAGGAAGTGTTTTGTGTTTCCACGTAGAAGAATATGGTAGTTCTATATATACTAATGTGGAAAACTGTTGAGGACAAATTACTTAAGGGAAGAAAGCAAAAGAATGCACACTATGATCTCATTTATGCAACTATATGTGTGTGAATATTTGCAATGTCCAAAAAATAAAAGTCTAGAGAGAAACTATACAGTGGTCAGCAATGGCATAGATTGGGGAGTAGGATAGACAGTCTTTGCTTTGTGTGTGCATACAAAATTCTGTATTGTAAAAGCTTGTTACAGCTCGTATTAGTTTTGTAATGAAACAGAAACTGAAAGTGAATTACTCTCAATTCAGCATAGGTTGTGTCTCTGAAAAACTTTTATTTCCCCTCTCTTCCTCTCCCCCACAATCTCAACACCCCCACCGCCCTCTAAGTCTTAATTTTCTTTTCTGTAAAGTCAGTTTTCATCCTGTAACTGGTAGATATTATCCTAAAACCTAAGACGCTGTAGGAAATGGTTTGTCGTCACCCTCCGTCCGACTCTGACGCGTGTACGCTCTTGGGGGGGGGGCATTCTGGAGTCAAAGGAGGACGAGTCAAAAAATGAGACTACGGGGTGGGATGGGGGGCTTTCCAGGATCTAGACTCCTGAAAGGAGCACAGCGTTCTTAAACATTTTCCTGGAGAGACGCTGAAGTTTTCAAAAGAGGCAAGACTCTGGGAGACAGGCTCAAAGGCCAGTCGCGGGCATCACCGAGGGCTTCCGGAGAGAGCCGAGGAGTGGGGAAGCGCAGCTTACCGAGAACTGCCGAAAATTTACGGAGATAGACGAAGAGCTAGCCGGTAGACCTTAAGAATCCGTTCCGAAGAAGCACTGAACACTTCAAAAAGAGTCAAAAGGGCGGGAGCCGGAACCACTTCTACAGGGCAGAAGTGTCGGAGGGGGACATATTGACTGGCGGAAGAGGTCTGAGGATTTCCGGAATGGGCAGAAGCACCGCTGTCAATCTTTCCATAGAGCGGAAAGATCGCATGCCCTAGCTGAGGTTTGGTTATGGCTGAGGCGAGCCAGGATCCCGCGCCGGAGGCCGAGGCGCTGGCCGAGGCCCGAGAGCGGAACAGCCGTTTCTTGAGCGGCCTGGAGCTGGTGAAGCAGGGCGCCGAGGCGCGCGTATTCCGCTGCCTCTTCCTGGGCCGCGCGGCCGTGGTGAAGCACCGCTTCCCCAAGGGTTACCGGCACCCGGCGCTGGAGGCGCGGCTCGGCCGGCGAAGGACGGTGCAGGAGGCCCGGGCGCTGCTCCGCTGCCGCCGCATAGGTGAGGCGGGCCGGCTCCCGGGCGTGGGAGGACCTGAGGCTCTGGGGCTGGGTGGCGGCAGTCAGGACTCCCCAGCCTCCCCGCCTCCTTTTGCCTTAGTGTCTCCATTTGTACCTTCTGCCCTGGCCGTCCTTTGAGAAATGTCATCCTTTTGTTCCTCGCAATTGGTTAATTCTTAGGAAGCCACATGGTCTTGCAGTAACAAGTGTTCGTTCGGGAGGCATTTCTCAATTCTGCTATTCCTCTACTCTGAACGTGCTTAACCTCTCCGAGCTTCGGTTTCCCTATTTGTACCGTTTCGATTTTCCATCATTAATTCTTCATTCAGTAGTTTTAAGAAGCAGATAAACGGAACTCGGTGGCCCAGGCATGTAAACCCACCACTCAGGAGGCTGAGACAGGAGGGTCCAGAAAGACTCTGAATTTCAGGCCAGCCTGGGCTACATATTGAGACCCTGTCTCAAAAAATAGACAACAGGAAAGAAGCAGTTGTAATGATAGGTTCTTACCTTGAGGCCAGGCACTGCTTCATATATAGCTTTTCCAAAAGTTGTTTAACCTGTGTGCTTCGTTTCTTCACCAGTAAAGTGGAAGTCATAGTAGAGATATCCATCCCAGAGATGTTGTGACCATTCGAGAAGAAGATATATAGGCCATATACTGTGTTTGAAAGTATCCCTGGCACATGGCATTCAGTAAATGTCAGTTCATTAATTCATTATTTTTTCATTAAAACATCCTCACACTCTTATCACCAGAAACCCTGTCCTCAGTTGAGAAGCTAATGCTCAGCTGGGGAAGTAACTTGCCCAGGGTTACACAGCAAGTAAGTGTTCCGTCCTCAGACTGAGAAGCTTTTTGCTCTACACTTCTTGCCTTTTTAAAAAAAATTGATTTTATTAGATGGGCGCATCTGTGCAGCAGGACATTGTCAGCTGCTGCAGTATTTTGGGAAAATCCAATAGTGAACAAGCAGGCACATCACTGCCCTTGCAGAGCTTTAATGACAATTTAACAGAGGTATTTGTGCATTCAGATTTTCTTGTTTTCACCTTCTCTGTGATACGAAGTGGCTCCTTTGTTTACTGCTGTATCCTTATTGACATATCTCTAGCTTCTAGAAAAGTGTCCTGGGCCTGGTTGATATTCAGTAAAGATTCATTAGGTTTATTGGAGAAATTCTCATGTAATAGTAGCAGAAACTGAGGCTTAGAGAAGTTAATGTAATTTAACATTGCCACTGATAAGGGAAAGAGCTGGGATTTTTGAACCCCATCCTTTCTGAGTCCAAAGATGAATCTGTAAGCCAGTGTGCTGCTTGGCCTCCTGATTGTGTCCCTGTCAGGTAGGAACTCCTCTGATTGGGTGATGCTTCCCCTCTACATTTATTTTGTTTTGTGTGTTAGGGAGTAAATATGACAAAGTCCAGCCATAAAAGGTGTTTGGGAAAGGAAGAGGAAGATTTGAGGCCTTTAAATTTAGCCATAGCTGGTCTCAGGCATAGTCTTGCATGGCTTGGGCAAGGGAAACATCCAGATAAGTTACACCATTTTCCGAACATTCCTCAATCTTTCTTCTGAAGTAAGTAGTGTCTGCTGAAATACTGGCTCAATATTTGAGTATTAAACTTCCCATTAAAAGGAAGAATTTGGCCTAATAACCACTTATATGTTGATTGCAGGAATATCTGCCCCAGTTGTCTTTTTTGTGGACTATGCCTCTAACTGCTTATATATGGAAGAAATGGAAGGTGCAGTGACTGTTCGAGATTATATTCAATCCACTATGGAGACTGAAAAAACTCCCCAAAGCCTCTTGGGCTTAGCCAAGACAGTCGGGCAGGTTTTGGCTAGAATGCATGACGAAGACCTCATTCATGGTGACCTCACCACCTCCAACATGCTCTTGAAACCCCCGCTGGAACAGCTGAACATTGTGCTCATAGACTTTGGGCTGAGTTTCATCTCAGGACTTCCAGAAGATAAGGGAGTAGACCTCTATGTCCTAGAGAAAGCCTTCCTCAGTACCCACCCCAACACTGAGACTGTGTTTGAAGCCTTTTTGAAGAGCTACTCCACCGCCTCCAAAAAGTCCAAGCCAGTGCTAAAAAAATTAGATGAAGTGCGCTTGCGAGGAAGGAAGAGGTCTACGGTGGGGTAGAAGAACGTGTGTGACAATCACATACAGTGAAGCTGTTTTTCAGAGTAAATTTGAATGCAACTAAATAAAGGAGTTGGGATATTTTAAAGCATTCTGTGATGATGCTTAAGTGTCAGTAATCCACAGTTGTTATCAAGAGTTTTTTATACAAATAAGACATTCTAGGCAGAATTGGGTACTTAAATCAATCTAGGGCCGGCTCTCTCATATTTAACCCAGTGTTTTGTTTTTTGTAGTGTACATGATATATTTTATTGAACCCACTTTTGGGAGACACAACCAACATTTTTGAAATGAAATAAAGTCTAGAAAATATCTGTATTTTATGAAACTTGTTTCAAATATATATTTAGACATAAAAGGTCTGATAAAAATACAAGAGATGTTTTATTTTTAAAACTTTATTAAAGTAAAAAGCCATATCGCTATTAATCCTTCTCAAAATACTCTCTTCTACACACTTATCCCATTGTTCTTGCCACTTTTGGAAGCAGTTCTGGAAGTCTTTCATGAGTATCAAGTTGCACTGTCATGACTGCCATGTCGGTGTTTACCTGTCATGGTCATTTTGACTTTGGAGAAGAGCCAGAAGTCACATGGTGCCAGAATAAGGTGGATGAGGACACAACCATAATGTTTTTATGAGTCTGCCTTTCCACTGGGTGGCACTCGGGAGCAGTAGTCAGTGTATTTTTTACCATACCTTGTAAAGACGTGAAAGTGAACTTCCAGAACTGCTTAAGAAACTGATAAGAATGCTAGGATAAATGATGGGGAGTATTTTGAGGGGGATTAATGGCAATGTAGCTTTTAACATAATAAAATTTTTAAATTTAAACATTCACTGTATATTTTGAACCCCTTGTAGATACGTGCTGGGTTTGTTATAAAATATATTTCTTGGGCCAGGGATTTACTCAGTGGTTCTGCCACGTGCTGTGCAAATGCAAGGTCCTGAGTTCCATCCCCAGTACCAAAAAATAAATAAATAAAAATAAAATATATTTCTTTTTGAGGGGCACAGAACAGATGAAAAATGCTGCTTAACTTCAATTTCTTTTAAAAAAAAAAAAGCAAGCTTCTTTCAGGTAACTGAAATTTAGATAACATTATTTTTGTTCCTCTATATTTTTACTACTACCTTCTGATTAAGAGATGTGATTGATATCAAGTTCCTCAAAGTTTATACAGGTAAAAAAAGGGAGTTGAAGGGCCGGGGATTTAGCTCAGTGGTTCTGCCACCTGTCTTGCAAGCACAAAGTCCCAAGTTTGATCCCCGGTACCAAAAAAAAAAGGGAGTTGATTTTTATCACAGGCAGTAAATAGATCAGAAGTTGTGAGAGGCTTGTGAATGATTGAAGTTTGATAAAGTTTTTTTAGACCAGTACATGTTTGTTGTACATAAGGAATGTTCACATTCCTTGTGGGGAATTGGTACATGTACATAATACCATCTTAATTCCTTTTTTTTTTTTTCAAATAAAGTCTGGTTTAAGGAGCAAGAAAACTGAGGATGCAAAGTACCAGTAATAGGCTTTTAACCTTGCTCAACCAGTTTCTTTCCCCAAAATGGGGTATGTGTGTGTGGGGGGGGTAGGTATAAAAATATACCTTTCCTCCTGGTAAGTTCTAGTTGGGAGATATGTTTTGAATGCCTTGTATGTGCCTGGTACATTATTGGGTACTGAGTCCACCAGTGAACAAGGTGGATACAGTACCTGCTTTTATGGAATGAGCACCCTAGTGGGACCAGGAGCATAGTTGCTTTTGTTTACCACAACCAGTGCCCTCCATGTGGCAGAGGCCAGAATAAATGAAAACTTAGTGAAGTTTCCTAGTAGTTTAAAAAATTAAACTGAAAGAAGCCTTGCTGTAGCTGGCTGGTCCAGTGAGAATGGTAGCCTGGGTTGAAGCAGTGGTGGGCATGTTATAAACTTCTTAGCACAAAGCCTGGCTCCAGCAGGGGATAGAACGTGGCAGCCAGTGGCAGGGGTGGCAGCAGCAGCAGGGAAGGTATAATTTCCTTTCCAAGTGCTGAGAGGGAGAGAGGTAGATGCTGGAGACTAGAGGAACTTCATAAATGCTCCTAGGAGGAGTATTGTCCAATGCAGCCCTTGCCCTATGAGAAGGAATAAGGGGTTAACAAATATTCCTAGGGGAGCTGTGGTTTCTCTCCCTAGTTCATGGTCTCACAAAGAGCCAAGGAGCCCTCTGCAGTTCTGGGGTCCAGGGAACAGCAGTTCTTTGCCATGATGAGCCAATAGCACTGGCAGCTACATGTGAAGCCTCACCTGCACCCCCAGATGCGGGTTAACATCCCCATTTTACACACAAAGAAATATTCAGCAATGTGAAATCTGTCCTATAGCCACAAAGCGAGAGCTGGGATTCAAACCCCTGATTTTAACAATGACTAGCTTTATCAAACAGTTACTAAGTTCTTCATGTGCATGAACTCATCTTGCAGAGGAAGCAACTAAGGCACGGGCAAATGAAGTTTGTTCACAGTAGTTCAGTGAGTGGCAGAGCAAAAGGAAGGTGATGTGTCACTGAAATGTCACATCACTAAATGTCAAACACTGAAAAGGACACCGGCCAATAGTTTCTCAGATGTGCTCTGATGGCCAGTCCATGGTGCTTAAAAAGGGCTGGCTCAGTCAGTGCTCCATGCTGGGCCTGTTCTTGTTAAATGGCTACACTATGCACTGGCTGAGGGGTTTTAGGAAAGTTACTTTAATGAAAAGATGTAGGAGAATAAAGGACATAGGGTGTACTCTGATGTAACTAAGAAAGTAAAACCTAATCCTGATTCTTTTTTTCTTTTCCTGATTCTTTATTTACAGTAACAGGCAGCCAGCCTGTAAGCCATAGTTTGCCAGTGTAATACTTAGAATTACATGAAATGTTTGTCTTGATTATTGAGTTATCAGCAACCCCCTCCCCTTAAATTTGCACCATAGGTGAATGCCTCCCTTGTCTCTCCCTAGTTGATCCAGATGTCACTGACCACCAGGGCCTTCACGGAGAAGCTAGCATTCCTACGAGGGTTGGCCCCCAAGGGTCTAAGTTGGAGCATAGCAACTCCAAAGAACTGTGACTCTTTTCTGCCACCAGAGGTCGCAAGTCACTGTCATCTGCTGTGCAAACAGTTAAACAGGAAGCTTTCCTCCACTTCCTTTTCTTCTTCTTTGCCCTTCTTCCTTCCCCTCTCTCTTTCTCCCTCCTGCCACTCTTTCTTTCTCCTCCCATTTCCCTTCCTTCCTCTGCTTCCCTCTTCCCAGCTCCCTGCTTCCTATCATTTCTTCCTTTCCTTGCTCCCTGGAGCTTGTTCATTTATTCACTCAACAACACCTTAGCGGAACATCTATCTGTGTGTGGCAGGCCCCATGCTAATCACTCTCAATTTCCACTTCCTGTCTTAATTTTTCCATCCATTCTCTCATGTCTTCACTCATTCATTCACTAGGTGTTTAGCGAGTGCCTTGGCTGTGTCCAGCTCTGTGCTGGATTCTAAAGAAACTACAGTGATGGGAAAGTCCAGTGACGCCCTGGAGCCTCCTGGCCCCTGCTGCGCTGCGGTACCCGATGACTTTCTCACTGGCCTCCCTGCTCCTGCCCTAGTCCCCCACATTCTTCCTCACTCAGCAGGCAGAGGGACACTTCTAACGCCAGAGTATACCACCCTCTATCCAGAAGCTTGATGGCTTTCCACACCATGTTTACCTTTCTGTATTTGTGTCACACTTCAATAAAGAGCTTAGGCATATATGAATAGAAACTACCACCAAGCTGGAACTACCATTCCAGCTGCTCCCTGGCTTAGGTGCTGAAATCTTGAGCCTGGAGCACTGCAGCTGCCTCCTCATAGCTCTCCCTTTGTTCTTGTCACCCGACTACACCCCTAAGCCTGTCTCCCCAAGGCAGTCTGGGGAATCCTGTGAACTATCAATTCATGTTCTGTCCTATTTCAACTCTCCAGTGATCTCACCTCACTCAGGGCCAATCTGTCCTGCACCGCCCCAGCACTTACCTTCCAGACCCCTCGCTTTCCTGTCCTCCCCAGAACCTCTGAGTGAGACACACTTCCAACGTGCCTGTCCTGTGTCCATCTCAGGGCCTTTGCATTTGCTGCTCTCTTTGTCCAAACACCGTTCCCACAGATCTCTCAGGGCTGCCTCCCTCATCCCTGCAGTTCTCTGCCAGATGCCACTTTGTCTGAAAGCCTCCCACAAGCACCCTGTGTGTGAGGTGACTCCTGTCCCCACCCCTCTTTGTCCCCCCAGCTCTCTCCACCCCATCTGAGATCAGTCATGACCACCTGGCACCCTTGCATGCACTGTCTCAGTTCTTCCCATTGATGTCCTCCTCTAGATCATGGAATCTGTGCAAGGAGGCTTGTTCAGGCCTCTGCTTTGGCCTTAATTTCTAAAACAGAGCCTGGAAGGTAGTAGGTGCTCCCTAAGCACTTAATTGGTTGGGAGACATTATTGGGGATTGAATCCAGGGCCTTTGCACTGAGTTACATCCACAGCTCTGTTTTGACTTTTAGTTTTCAGACAGGATCTTGATAATTTGGTCAGGCTAGACTTGAATTTGTGACCCTGCTTCAGCCTCCCGGAGTGCTGGGATTACAGGTGTGCTCCACCACATTAGGCTTCCATAAGCATGCACTGAATGGAGTTGAATTCTTTACTACAAGGCCAGCCTACTTGCAGAAAGACTCCGTGCTCCATGTGGGGAAGACATCTTCCTATTCACACACGCACACTCACATTCCACCTACCCATAGTTTTCCCTGCTGGAGGCAAGGCAGAATGTGGTCCTGGCCTGTGGTTTGGAACACAAAAACAATCAGAACACTGGGAGTCCAGTGTGGATCAAAGGGCCCTTCATGTTTGTAAATCTCCCCTCTGCCTGGGACAGAGGAGGGTAGGGGATGGCCCAGAACCTGGAGTGACCGGTCACAGCTCCAGGCCTCCCCAGAGTAAGGAATAGCCCAGCAGGCTAAGGTGCTTGACCACCACTCCAGGGGATGTAAAGGGTGACTAATCCCAGCCCCAGCCTGAGGCCTCGCTGCTGGGGCCTGCTTCAAAGCCAATATTGCTCTTGGAGCTGCAGTGGCCTTGAATGAAATCTTACACTGAAAGATGCTGACAGTGGCACCAAGGAAGGGAGGGGTGGGAGACTGAGAGTCCCTCCTAGGGAAGGAAAGCTGAAAGTCTGCACCAATTCTTTCCTCCCCCATCACCCTCTCTCCTTCTCTGCTTTACTTTTAATTGTTGCACTAAAAATTATGTGATGTGCTACACATTTTACACATC